CTTGACTCGCAAATCATCAAGTCAAAAAAAACACCAACTCGACTTGATTTGAACTCGACTCGGCTTATCTGACTCGTGAGTTAACTCAACTCGTCCAGAACTCTAGTCACAGACAATCTTGCGTCAAACGTTTTATTCACTGATATAGACCCTGCGATAGTTTCAGCTATTCATAAAACATTTCCATCAACAAAGCATAATTACTGTATCTGGCACCTTCGCAAAAACTTTGACAAAAATCTGAGAGGTTGGCTCCATAAAAATTACAATGAATTTGTGAAAGCGTGGAATAAATGCCAGAATTCCTTCTCAGAAAATGAATTTCAAAAACGATAGCATAAACTTCTTATTAGTTATCCGATGGCAAAAAAATACCTAACTCGTACACTTGGAAAAGTTGTAACTAGCTGAGCATTATGCCATACCAGTCGATCATTCAATGCAGGAATCCAGTCTACTCAACGTGTTGAAGGTTATAATTCTCTAATTAAACGATCGGTCAAAAGTTTAGCAACATTGTTTGAATTGGATACACATATCCAGTCACTTCTTAACAAAGAACAACAATTTGAACGGCATGAACAATCAAATCAAAATCTAACAGTTGGTTTACCGAATGTTGTCAGAAGATACTTCAAAAGAATAGATGCTATTATCAAAAAATTTCTTACTCCTCGTGTTTTAAAGATGCAGCACAATCAAATGAATGAAAGTTTACTTTATCGTATAGATAAAGTAGAGAATTAGAAGGATTTGCTCGAAAATGAGATATAAATTGTAACATTAGCATTTACTTGTAAATTACACAACATTCTTATTTTATTTCTATTTAGATTGTCGAACAAGATGAAGATGATGAAGATGGCAAAGAATAACAATCTGATGATGAAGAACAATCTGATAATAAAGAACAATCTGATAATGAAGAACAAGGCGATGATAAAGAACAAGACGATGATAAAGAACAAAACGATGATAAAGAACAAGGCGATGATGAAGAATAATCCAATGAAGAATAAGGCGATAATGAAGAACAATCTAATGTAAAACAAGGCGATGATGAAGAATAATCTAAAAAGCTGAATTTTCCTGAAGACGACTATGAGTCACCAATATCCAACCTATATGCTCTGATTACATACCTTAATCATGCTAACATTCATGAGGTTTGGCATGTAACAACAATTAAACAAAATAAAGAGCATTTCGTGATAATATATGATAATGCTAATTACTTGTATACATGCATGTGGCTTGTAACAAGAGGATTAGTTTGTCGTCATTTCTTTTCAGTGATGTTTAATTCAGATAAGGCCATGTTTCATATAGGGCTCATTCCAAATTGATGGTATAATGAAAAGTTTTCTGATTTTTAAGAAGAATCTGCAATTACAATTTTTAGTGAAAAGAACACTGTTAAACCCATGTATGAACATCAAGTTAGGCCAGATTTTAGCCTATTACATGAGATTCGTTATACACAAGCATTTTTGAAAACTGTTAAGCAAAATTTATCTCATCAAGCCAAATATAATCAAGGTTTTGGCTATACAAAGAAAGCAATTAGACTAGCTCTTAAAATAGGTTGTGAAGACGAATTAAATAACATGTGTAAAGGTGAATAAGAGAAAAGGAAAATGAAACTAGTTTTAGGCAACTAGAGATTAACAAAGAAAATCTGCTGAATATTAGCAATCCTTATCAGACGCGTACAAAAGGTGCTCTAAGAAAACGTATAAAGAGTGTATTAGAAGGAAATCAAAAGCAAAAGTCAAGTAGAACTGCTAGTACTCATCAATCGCAGTATATATGCAGTCACTATAAAGGCATTGGACACAACGTGTGTAGCTGCGAACTTAAAGAGAAATCTAAATCTAAATGATTTATAAACAATTAATTTAGAATAGCAAATTGTTATAATAAAGGATTTTGAAACAGAATTTGCATTTATGATTAACATGTAACTTCAGATTATAATTAATGCATAACAGTTTATTGAATAAATGCTTTATGAATTGGTTGGCTATATGAACAATGCTCAGACAAATTTATGATAAAAAGGGGGTGAATTTACCAGTGATTTTATTAGTATTTCGTAAATATGTATATTAGAGATCCTGTCTCTTATTTCTAAATAAACTGACTCAAAGCTAACTTCTGATTCTTAGCTAAATGTTATACCTTTTTATTTACTATTACTACAAATATAATAGTAGCACTAGCGGTATCAATAGTACTGAGGTTACTACTATGGCTGAATCTTCATCATGTGGGTAGCGTAGAACTAGGGATGGGAGCGACTCTATCAGTTAAGAAAACTTTTTATATATCTAAAAAAAATTCGCGCGAATTTCTCTTGATTAATTTATTAATTTATTTAGTTAGTCTGAAGCATAACAAAGGACTATTATAGTCTATGCTTAGTAACACAAAAAAAATTCTGTCTGCCCGTTCAACTGATTTCTCAAATCGTATTCCAATTAAGCTATTTCTAATAAAAGATCGACTAAATTTTGACTATATTTCTAAACGGTTTTATCATCCAAGAGTGGAAATGGTAAGTACTAAATCCATATGATTGGGCGAAGAGCCTCTGACTGGTCTTGCTTCTGCTATAGAATCAGCTTCCGAATGGTCCTGCATTTCTAATAATAATAATTATTAATAGACAATAGTTATATTTATATATTATACATCATGTGACATTCAAAAAAACCCAGGCGATGATCACCTAGGTGACAATTGCTCAAGTTATGTTTAGCAATTCTCTAAACTTAGAATTTCACATAGTACATAGCAGGAAATCGTAGCAATAGTTAAAGTAAAATTTAGTCACGTGTGTAAGAATGTAGAATATATTGCACTTAAGGATCTATTGGATAATATAATTTTAATAATTCTAGACTTTTATGCTTTATTCTTTCATGCTGGCAATTTTAACTCTTATATTGAATTATATTTTTAAGTTTAAATCATTTTTCTTAAATTTAACTGTAAAAATTATACTAAAGCACTATTAATGTTTTTATCAGATATTTTTTATTGGCAATCAAAAGATCATTCAATTTTAAAAACAATGAAAGCAGAATTACCCAAATTTTCTGATTCTCTTGTTGAAATCTTTTATAGCCTCTTATGATATAATATAAAAAAGCATCTTACGGCAAGTTAAATAATAAAAAAAGGACAGTATATTAATTACTTACGATTTAATGATAATAGATTTAAAGAAAATTTCATTTACACTTCGACTTTGGTGGTATACCAGTATTCTTCATGAATATTACAATTTTAACATGAAAAACTGCATATTTTCTTTAGATTATTTTTTGAATATTTATATTCACATTAATTATGAAAAGTTGCAATTTTCAATTTCATTATAGATTGCTATAGAAAGCTTATCAAAAAAGAGAAAAATTGATGCTAAAAACAGTTTTTTTATTCTGGCAATGAAAATGAAGGATGCACATCTCTGCCATTTATCTTTAGGATATAGTTCTTTTTATAAACCATATTTGTTTAGTTGTGATTCTTCTAATTGTTTTAATATTAACATTATAATTACTAAAAAAACAGGTCAGGTATTATCATGTGGCTATGTATATCATAATATATATTTTAGTCAGAATGGTTTCAAATGCTTACATTGCTTGGATTATATAAAATCTGGTATTGATGAATATGTACAATCACTCTTGAATCATTTACGGTAGCTTAATTCAAATAATGAAGCTAATATTGAAGAATCTGACCTTATTCCTGAAGAAGAAGGTGATGATAAAGAATCTGTTGATAATATTTCAGCTTTCTGGAATATTATGATATGACATTTTCTTCAACAATAATTAGCTAATAATTGAAATTATAATGTATATGCCTAAAAATATAATTCAAATAAAATATGATATAATATATTATTACTAAATATGCTTTTAAATTGTTGCTTAAATTTAATTAGATGAATTAATATTTAAATTTAATTGGTTAATCATTACATGTTTTGAGTCGATGAATCAGCCAATCATATGAATTTCTTCCTATATACACACATTACAATCATATGATATAGAATTCAACCTATTGCATTGATCAGAGATCTTCTTAAAAAATTGATTGATCGGCTTTTTTGATTATGTTATACTATAATTGTAACCAATAAAATCAGCTTGATACAATCAACTGAAAACTGATTTTTATGAATCACTAAAAATGTAGATCATTCTGATATTATAATTTTTTTAACATGTCTTTTTCTTACTATCCTTATTATTATATAGCTCTTTGTAAATCAAATGATTTTTCAGATATATTGAAAATCAGAGAAGCAAATGAAATATATAATGCTATCAAAAAGAGAGAATCCTAGGCTACTTAATGCGAGTTCTAGCACTAAATTATTTATTTGCTCTCACATTTTCAGAGAATATTGTATCTATAATTAACAAAATTATTTACACCTATCTATTTTTCTAACTACACCCATAATCTTTCTCTACATTAGAATTCTGAAATAATTATACTACTTATATCTACAGAATTTTCATTTATCCTACCCATAAATTATGTAATAAATCATTTCCAGCAAGAGAACTTCTTTGAGATGAAATAATTTTAAATCTGTATGAAGAAATTTGAGATTAGCAATATGGTAAAAAAAATAAAACAAGTTGAGGCTTCCAATTCATACTTACTATTATACTTCATTTTCACAACATTCCATTCCTTCTCACATTTAAGAAATTTGTTAGTTAATGCGTTATAATAAAGGTGTTTTGATTTTTTTATCACTAGAATAATATTACGCCAAGTATCAAGAAATCAGATGCTATTGCTGAAAAATTTTATTCAATATATTGCGAACTGTATCTCAGCATATAATGAAAATCTGGTAATAGAAATTAATATTGCACTGATTAGACATATGATAATAATCACGATTTTCTCAACAAATATCAAATGAACGGAAAGAATCAAGAAAGATAATATGTCTTCTTATTTTTGAGCATCTATAGAGCAAGAAAATATAATTAGCATCATGGTGATGATTTTCTAGAATTAAGCCAAGAAATCAAACAAACTAATTTTGTTATTATTTTGCGATTTGATTGATTGTTAATATTGTTGAGGTTAATATTGATAAGTTTGAATATTTGTTTTGATCCTTTTTTGCTTTATTTGCACAGGGTGGATAAAAGGATTCATTAAATAAAGCTTCACCTTTTTATAAGATTTGTAGTGCATTTAAGGATCGATTTTTGAAATAAATCTTTGAGAAAATTACGTTATTATGATTTATCATGAAATTAAATTAACAAATACTCCTTAAAATTATAATAAATACTAGGATTGTGTTCCTAGATCAATAAGAAGATCTTTTTCATTATTAATATATATAAAAACTTGAGTATATGCGGGAAGTTTCAAGAATAAATAATATAGTGATAATGACTTATTTCTTATAATATATGGTAACTTTTTAAACGATACTGCGCTTTTATCAAGTATCGATTCATGAATGAAAAACTGATTAAGAAATATTAGTATACAAACACATCCTACACTCCCTTCAACATATTGTATTTAATGTGCCTTAGCTTTATTGATTGTAAATAAAAAAAATACATATTTTTGTTTACATTGCAGAATAATATCTAGTTAAATTTATTGCTTAAAGAGTTACAGCTAAGATAATATTCTGTTCTATACTATTCGCTATGTAATCCATAATTCCTATATTTTCCATCACAAATAGGACATGGTGAGCTCCACGGTTGAGATGATGCAAAATTATAATTATCAATCCCTCTAAAACTATTTCAGAATTTCAGGTATGTGAAATGTTCTAAGATAGACTTGATAATTAATTCTGGATCAGATTTGGCTTTGAAAGTGATGGGCCTATTTTCTTCACATTGTTCAGGAAAAGATAAATAAGATGCTTTATTTTCTGGCTTCAAATTTATGAGAAGGCTGGCTTTTGATACATACGCTTCTGATAATTACCATGGATCATATCCAATTTCTTTTTTATATTTTTTGTATAAGCTGGACTGAATCTTATCTGTTAAAACACATGGTAAACTAGTTAATTTGGTAAGCCAATCCAGATACTCAGGGGTTAATACTTTATCAAACTTGCTCATATTGCCTTTTTATATAATTACAGATCAATTTAAATTCCTAGATAGAAAGCTGTTTACTATTTCTTATCATATTTCTAAAAAAATAATTAGATTATCTTTTGAAGTATTTATGATATAAGAAAGGGTAATGAGATTATGCAGTTATCTCAATTTCACACTGTTCACATTTAATAAAGTAAGATTCAGATTTATACATACCTTCTATACTTTTCTGGTCATCATGATTTAAACTGTATAATAAGCATGATGTCTCATCAGTAATGCTATAATAATTGAAATTTTTATTATTAAATTCTCTATATAAAGCAGAATATTAGTCCAATATTTTGTTGCGAAAATAGGAATGGTCATGAAATGGACTCTTAAATTGAGGTAAAGGTAATATATTTGCTAATGTACTTACCTTAGCTTTAATCTGATCATTTCCTGAAAAAACGGTTTTAAAGTCATATGTTTCTAATGTTTGCTAGTATATTTTTTACTTGATTTATGACATTTTGGATTTGTGCGTTAATTAGTTTCAAAATTTTAGTTATGCTATATGAGATCAACTTAATTTTATCTATTCAACCATATTTTTCCTGAATAACATGAAATGTTTTCTGGCTCTTTGAGTTTTTTTGCGCAAGTTAGCTTGTATGATTTTAATAGAAAGAAATAGTTTCATTTTCTTGTAAATCATTGATCTTGTCATTTTATTCTTAATTCTACCATCAGCCTATCTTGCTCTCAAATTCAAAGGAATAATTGTGCCAATCTAATATTTTCTGCTGACTGGATTTTATTGCTATTTTAAATAAATAAAATAAGTGTTAAGCAGAATCTGAATCATATTCTCTAAACTAATGTAAGAGCTGATGATTTTGACATTATCTTATCTATTTAGGACCTCTTCAGGTAATATAGGTAGTATTATTATAAGACATTGATGGAACACTGATAGAATGCTAATAGGACATAAATGAAACAGATAGGACTTTTAGGACATAGTGTGGAACAGGTTGGGATATATAGCTGGAACATATAGCTAGGACAACAAATCTTTGAGACATCAAAAATGTATATCACTGGATATAGGCAGGGTTGAAAAATTAGTACAGTTAGTACAGCTTAGTACAGTTTAGTACAGTTAGTACACATAATAATTAATATAAAATTTAGTACAGTACAGTACAAGTATAAGGTCAAAATTTGCCAAATATATACAAATTTCTCAACCCTGGATATAGGTACATATAATTTATATATTAGATCTTATTCTACGATTTGATTTTTATCAAGCGATTTCTCTTGAATCATATCATTGTTTTGCTTCATAGATAGAAGATCTGGTTCACCTGAAGTCATATGATTCTGATTGTTCTCTGAGGGAACGGTTTTTTCAAACTCTCTCAAAATTTCTGAAATCATCTGATCGTCTTTTTAGAGTTATATGATGGGTTAGTAACTGTCGATTCACATTGAAGTTTCTCTTCTCACTTTCTCTGAATTATCTTATCATTAACAATTTTTTATAAGCTTCAAACAAGAAATTATTCATATTTTTCTCTTCTAATAATTTGCCATTAACCATTAAGGCACTTCGCAAGTACTTTACAAAGTTAGCAGATACCATAGCCACCTCTATTACCAGTTCTTGTTTATTATAGCAATTCTCTTTAGAAAAGAATTATCTGTTTTTATATTCACTAATAGCTTCTTATAATACTCTACAACTGAATTAAAGTTAGATGTATTATTGTCAGAAGAATTATCATTATTCGACTGCTCTTTCACTGGTAAGGAAGCCCATTTCATTATCACAAGTCTGACCTCAAGCTCCTTATTTTTTTGTACCAGTTTCTTAACTTTAACATCATATCTGGTATTTTCCTTCATAATCTACTTTAAAAGCTTAGCCTTTTCAGCCTCAAGCTCAGTATTCTTAGCTTTAAGTTTAATAATATGCTATTTTAATACTTTAAGCTCAGATATCATAATTGATAAATTTTATACAAGAAATGAAATATTCAAAAGTAAGTTAGTACAGTATATATCAGATGTAAGAAAAAATAGATATAGGTTATGACGTCACCAGATTTCTAGGACTGTGCAGTCCTAGAAAAAATGCCAAGAAAATTTTACGTGATCTGCTTATAATGCAAAAAAATCTAATTAATAATCATGCAAAACATCTCTCAACCTGCTCTGGACTAGCTAGATTATTTGACTCTGATTTAGTTTCAGAGCTAAAAGATTCTGAATCTAAATAGCAGTAATCTTCATTAAAATTTTCAATAGAATATTTGAATTTAGCTAATTTATGGCTTTTTTGCTAATATTTTCATATCCTTTCAAATCTAAAGAGACATGAGCAAGCAATTTCTTCGATAGTCTTACTTGTAATATTACAGTAACTAAGGTTGAGATATTAGAGCTTTAGGTAGAAACGTATAACATTACAAATTGATAGCTCACTAATAAAATCACAGCAATACAGATCAAGATATTCTAATTTATGACAAGTATAAGCCAGCACTTCAGTAATTTTATCAGTGATATCATTATAGCCAATCTCTATATATCTTAAATTCAAAGATCTTTTGATGATAGCTATAATTAATCTATTATTTCACAAAGCCATAGCATTACAAAAGTTGAGATACTATATGCTGAGACATCTTCATATTAAAGTATTAGCATCT